ATATGGAGGACCAGCTGTATATGCAATACAGCTAGAATATACATTCTGCCTCAAATGTTTTCTCATAGTGCTTCTCAATGGCTTGCTCCACTAGGAAATACTAAGAAGCCATTTTACATTCTCTTCTGAATGCCTTCATTTTTTGGTACCGGGGATTGAATTTAAGACCTTGTACTCCTGAGGCAGGTGGCGGCACCACTGAGCTAAATTCCCAGCTGAATACCTTTGTTTTTTACACACTAGGAGGTACCGCGGATGGAAGTGATAAGCTCCAGGTACTGGCACTAATGACAGAAGAGAGGGTGTTCATGAATAAAAACCAACCAGACCCGATCATCAGGTTTTATTTTTTTAAAATATATCCTCTTTTGTTTTTAATTTTTTTCTTTTTTCATATAAAAAATCTTTTAATATGGACATTTTCAAACACGCAAAATAGATAAAGTGATTCACTCCCATTTACCCATCACCCAGTTTCAACAAAAGGCAGGTTTTTTTTAATATACCAAAGACATTCAATCACCTACAAAAAAAAAAATCTATCGGTGTCACTGGAAAAAGGCAACTGGACTGGAGACAGTGGTCCAAATGGATTTCTGAGAGTAAGAATTAGACTGTAGAGTTTCACTAATGATGTACTCTTGGAATAATTGTAATACGCTGGCCAGCCGATATGCAATTTTGGTCGAGTGAATACTATATGGCCCAAACTGAACTCAGCAATTTTCTAGACATATGTACTTAATTAACAACGACAGTGTACCCTGAAACATTAGCACCAAGAACAATAATACACTGACACAAGACATTTTGGGGGGATGGTTGCACAAATGTTTGCATATACAATTCAATTTCATAACTTATGATTATTTTTCTTTCGAAAGAGGGGTTTATGAAGGCATAAGATGGTCTGGATAAGCTGGAAAAAATAGATCTAACCAGAGAAGTTTTAAAAGCACTTTCCTCTTCTACAGAGAGCTGAGCAATAGTAATTACTCATTCTGTCATGGCTGCTTTCTCTGACTTTACTGAACTCACCTCTTTCTCACAACTACCTGCATCATGATGTAGGTATTCAAACACTTCCTAATGCGAGAAGCTTGCTTAGGTTTTCTGGAGTTGAATTGAATCATATCGACAAGGCAACCTGAATATATGTACTCAAATTCAAGAGAAGATCTGATAGCAGCAATCTATTAATTGTTTTCCTTATGCTGGTCATCTTCTGGACTTGTTCTAATAGTGAGACATCAGCAAAATACTGATTTACTTAATTTTCTCATAGCTGATTTAGAAACACTGCTGATGGATCTGATCGGTTAAACACTGATGGCATAAATAATGACAAAAGTGCCTTTCTTTCTCTGTGTTAGGGGACAAACTTTATAGGTACAGAGTAAGATAATATCTATTTTAAGCATCATAGGCCACTGAAATTTGCTGCTGTGTTACAAAAGCTGTTATAGACAATGCCTAGTTGTTCCAGTGAAAGTTTATTTACAAAAACGGCTGGGCTTGAACTTGGCCCTTGGGTTTGCCAACTTTTTCCCCACATGGTTATGGGAATTGTAGCATGTGTCCTTCATTCTCTTTATTGCTATATACAGTAATGGTCCATGGATGTTGTGTTGGATGGATCACATTTTTTATCTTCATCCATCAGTTGATGTATATTTGTTTTTCCACTCTTTTTTTTAATGGTTATGCAGATCAGTGGATTCTATTCTTGCAGATTTATGCATGCACGTAACATATTTTGATCATTTTCCTGCCCTACCACCTCCTCACCCTGCTCTCCTGAGTAGTTTCGCATTTTTGGTAGAGAAGTTTCAATGCATATAAAGTATTTTGCTCATATCCAAGTCCTCACTACCTACTTCCTCTTCTCTCATTCCTTCTTGTCTGATGACATCTCTCCTTTCCTTCCTTGTTGTCTTTTAAAGATTCTATATATTAGGGAGAACAGGTCATAATCATCGGAGTCTGGCTTATTTCATGTGACATGATGGTCTCCAGACCTTCCATTTTCCCGCAAATGACAAAGTTTTGTTCCTCTTTATGTTTGGATAATACACTATTGTGTATATATACTACTTTTCTTTAATTTAGTTTTTTTTTTTTGTACTGGGAATTGAACTCAGGACCTTGTGCTTCCCAGGCAGGTGCCGTAGCACTGAGCCACATCCCTGGCCCTGTACTATTTTTCTTTCATCTGTTCATCTGTCGATGGGTATCTAGGCTGGTTCCATATCTTGGCTATTGTATGATACCACAATAAACATAGGTGTGCAGGTATATCTAGAGTTAAGTTGGCTTTAATCCCTTTGGGTATATACCAAGGAGTATAGCTGAGTTATATGTTAGGTTTACTTTTAGTTTTTGAGGAACCTCTATACTGATTGTGTAGTGGCTGTATCAACTCACATTCCTACCAGCAGTGTACTTTCTTTTTCTTTACATCTGCACCAGTGTTTATTTTTATTTATTTATTTATTTTTGTAATCTTGGTGATAGTCATTCTTACAGATGTGACAGAATCACAAAGTGGTTTTATTTTCTTTATTTGTTTACTTTTTGGTTTGTTGAGGTGGGGTCTTGCTATGTAGCCCAGGCTGGCCTCAAACTTCCAGCAATCCTCCTGCCTCAGTCTCCCGAGTACTGAGTGCTTAGGATTACGTGTGTGCACCACCACACTCAGAAATATAGTTTTAGTTTGCATTTCCTTAGTGATTAAGATGTTGAACAGTATTTCATATTCTTATTAGTTATTTGTATTTCTTTTGAGGAACATCTAATTCTTTTGCTCATTTACTCATTGGGCTTTTGGATTTTTTAGTGTTAAGTTTTTTGAGTTCTTTATATATCCTAGATATTAATCCTCTGTTGGAAGGGTAGCTGGTAAAGATTTCCTCCCATTTTATAGGCTGTCTCTTCACTCTGTTAGTAGTTTTCCTTGCTATCCAGAAACTTTTAAATTTGATGTAATTCTATTTGTTGTTTGTTGCTATTATTCCCTGTGCCTGAAGTCCTATTCAGGAAGTCTTTGCCTGTGTCTGTGGCTTCAAGTGTTTCCACTATGATTTCATTTAGAGGTTTCAAAGTTTCAGGTCTTAAACCTAGACCCTTGATCCATTTTGATCTGAGTTTTGTGCAGGGTAAGAGATAGGGATCTAGTTTCAATCTTCTACATGTGGTGCTTCCCCAGATTCATTTGGGAAAGAGGCTGCCTTTTCTTCAAAGTATATTTTTGCCTCCTTTGTCCAGAATCAGGTGGCTATAGTTGCGTGGGTTTGTTTCCATGTCCTCTTTTCTATTCTATTGGTTTACGTGTCTATTTTTGTGCCATTACCCATGTTGTTTTTGTTACTAGGCTTGTCATATAATTTGAAATTCAGTATTGTGTTGCTTCCAGCCATGCACTTATTGCTTAGGATTACCTTTGGCTACTGTGGGTCTTCTGTGTTTCCATATGAATTTTAGGATTTTTAATTTTAATTCTCTGAAGAATTTCCTTGGTATTTTGATGAAGATGATATTGAAACTGTAGATCACTTTCGGTAGCACAGCCACTGTAACAATATTAATTTTGCCAATTCACGAACACAGGAGGTCTTTATGTTTTCTGGTGTCTTCTTCAATTTCTTTTTCAGTAGCCTGCAATTTTCACTGTAGAAGTCTTTCACCTCCTTGGTTAGACCATTTCCTAGGTACTGCATTTTACTTTATTTAAAGATATTGTGAATGAAATTGCTCTCCTGATTTTTTATTACATAGTCTATTATTCATGTAAAGTAACTGATTTTTAAATGTTAATTTTATATCCTGCCACATTTGCTAAATTCATTTATCAGCTCTGAAACTCTTTTGGTGGAGTCTTTAGGATCATCTGAATACAGGATCGTATCACCTGCAAACAAGGATAGTTTGACTTCTTCTCTTCCCATTTACATCCTTCTTTTGCCTAATTGCTCTATTTAAAATCCCAAGGACTATATTGAATGAGTGGTGAAAGTGGCCAACCTTGCCTTGTTTCTGGTGCTAACACGCAGTCTGTGTCATCACCTGAAGTTGTTGAAGAGAGATATGAAGCTGCTAGAGGGCTGGGTTCTCAGGACAGAAAGGCTCACCACTGGAGACTAAGGGACACGGGTCTGACGTGGGGATTCCTCTCGATCACACTGAGACTAAGAACAGTGATTCTGAACTCTGACAAGAGAAGACCTCTTTCTTCCCATTACTGGAAATGTGGGATGGAACTTTAGTCTTAGGGAGGAACTTCAGCAACTATTTTCTTCAGTAGCATATTCACTCTTTTTCCCATTTGCGTTGGAAACATCTGCTCCCATGCTCAGTATTGGGAAGACACCCTGGTTTCCCACATCCCTTCTCTTACTTTCCCACAAGTCTTGTGTGTGTAGGGGGGTGATATGTGTTATTCCTAGAGGAAGGAATAAGCTCATGTGGATGTGTGAGCAACACTCTCCTCAGTCTTTTTGGACAGCATGTGGGAAGTGGACCCGAAGGCTGCCTTTTGCTGGTAGGCCTGGAAGGCCGCCCTCCCTTTCCCCACTTTTGTGTCTTGAACGGTTGAGCAAAGCAGCAATACTTCTTTCACTTTGTCAGGTAGATTTCCTCGCTGCGGTCCCAGTTTCTTTCACAGGAACGGGTGGGTCCTCGAGAAGTCTAGGCTTCAAGGAAATTCTAGGAAGTCGGTTGACATTGGTCTAGACATGTTCTTCAATGAGCACAACTTATCCCCAAGCATAATTATCATAAAGGTGAACATTTGATGACCTGCATTGAGTTCTTGTGAGAAAAGAGCTAATGCAGCAGGTCTGGTTGCTTACTCCTTGAGTGTCCTCAACAGAATTCTGAATGACCCTTGATCAACTTCAGGTGTGTGCCCTCCAACTGGGGTGTTAGTAATTGATGACTTGCTCATATACCTGGAGTGATGTGCCATGCTGCACTGGTTTGTCAGGATGCTTTACATAAAGATCAATATTGATGCTGTGCAAGGTACACTTGAATTTTTTGTTGAGGTCCTGATGTTTCATTGCCACAGTTGGTTATACAGCAACGACAATGTAACAAGTTACGTCTATAAGAAAAACATCCCTCGGTGTCATAAAAACCTCAGTCCCTGAGTTCAAAGCAGTGTCCACCAGAAGAGTCATTCCATACACATACCTGATGTTCATTGCTAGAGAGTAAGACTACAACCCCATGTGTCTTCAGACAAGGAAGATATCAGAAGTCTGTGTTGTTCCTTTCTGGATGCCATATCTTTTTACTGTGTTCTTTGCTGTAGTAAAACGTGGCTCTGGATATAATTTGCTATTGAATCTTCTAAGTCCTTCTTGGGGTTCACTGGATGCAATGGCACTATATTTCAACAATTGGAAATTCAGAAGAAATGAGCACAACTGGGTGAAAAACTTAAGGGTTGTCCCAAACTCAGTGATCAATACATCAATTGAAAGTACTATAATTAATGTAAAAATCTGTAGTATGCAAAATACCAAACATTTCAATAAAGCTAAGATTTGACGCTTGCTTGCAATATCCTGGCTCATTTGCCTCACCCTACTTCTTGCTTTGGAGAAGAGATGCATGGCAGCTTTTTAGGTGACAAAGCTAAAGACAACATCTTTAGTAATGATGTGAAAGGTTGCTGAATAGTTGCTTCACTTCACTACCTTTCTCTTATTTCAATTAGTTTGTGCTCTTTCTAATGAATTAGACTGTGCTCCTTCTAATCTCTGCTGATGTGTCAGCTGCTTATGTGGCCAGCCCTTTTAGAGATCTGTACCTTCCAGAGCCCTGGAGACCAAGTGAGAATTCTGCCCTCCCAGCAGACCCTCTGTATCTAACACAATTCTTAACAGGTTGCCTGTCATTGGGTAGATAATTCCTAAAGGTCAAGATAATTGAACTTAGAATGGAAAGTTATTCAGGGCTGGGGATTTAGCTCAGTGGTGCCTCTGTCTGCCCCGCAAATAGAAGGTCCCGAGTTTGATACCCATTTCCAAATAAAACAAAAGCAACCCCGCCCCACCCAAAAGAGAATGGAAAGTTATTCGCAGAGCTTAGAGACTTCTTATAAACTTTATTTGTACAGTTTTACTTCTTTGTACATTTACAGGGAGAGAGGCACCAGCTACATTTTCCACTATGTACCAAGTTCAGAGCTTGACACTTTCTATAAGTGATCACAAAATTTTATGGCAATTGCGACAAGGTGGATGCTGAAGTCCTTATTTCATAGAGAAGGAAAAATGACCTCAAGATGGCCATAGGTCATTCTCAAGATCACTGAGAAATAAGAGGCAAATTTGGTTCCAACTTCCGTTGTCTGATTCTAGGGCTGACAAAAAGTAGCTGCAGCCCCCTTTCATTCATTAGCATCTATGTATCCACATCCTGCCACTCTTATTAGTAGACCTATGTACCTTGGGAAGACATTTTGCTCTAATGTCAAAGAATGAAAGATGGAGTCAACTTTTGATACTTGGCTATTATTTAAGGAGCTATCCAAGACTTGGTATTTCTTTGTTTTTCTTCCTTTCTCCCACTCCACAGACATCATCTGTCATGGAACCAAAGTTATTACCCCAAGGGTCCCGCTGGTGGGCTTTAGAGGGTTATAGAATACCTGAGTATCAGGTTTTTTGTATATTTTCATTTTTCTGCACAAAGAGTATGTTTATAGCCTTTTTGGATTTTAGAGGTATGATCTTCAGTTGTCCTTCCTCAGCTATAGTTTTGTTTTCTTTGGTTTCAGGCACCTACTCAATCATAATCTGAAGATATTAAATGGAAAATTCCAAAAAAAACACAAAACAATTCATAAGGTTCTAATAACATGTTATTCTGGCACAAGGAATACTCAGGCCATCTCATTCACTCTGGCTGGGAAGTAAATGACCCCTTTGTCCAGAGTATTCAGATTGTGTACACTACCTAATATACCTGATTTGTCACTGAGAGCTGTCTCTGTTTCACATCAACTATCGTAGTGTCACACTGCTTATGTTCAGGTAACCATAGTTTTATTTATTAATGGTCCCAAAGTAAAAGAGTAGTGATATCAGTAATTCAAATATGCCAAAGAGAAGCTGTAATGTGCTTCTTTTATTGGAAAAGGTGAAAGTGTGTGACTTAATGACAAGAGGAAAAACTTTTATGTTGAGTTGCTAAAATCTATGGTAAGAACAAGTAGGGAAAACAATATATACATGAAGTTCAGTAGTATCTGTGAATTCAGCCATTCACCAGGGGTCTTAGATCACATTCCTCTTGGGTAAAAGGAGACTACTACATTTAACAACAGATTACTGTGTAATGTTCTGGTTACAAAATCAGTCCAAGTTCTGGATGCTTGTCTGAAAAGTCACAGGAATGAACTTATTTACCATAGTGAACCTTCCTGGAATATGGTGTGATGTCCTCCCTACATGAAAATACTAAAGTATATGAAGTGTATTTGAAAAATATGGTGCATGTTTACATTTTTAAAAGTTTATTACAGCACAAGACACAATGGCATCCATGCCCCTTAAAATACTCCCCCTCACTTTGAAAACCTCATTTCGTTGTTTTTGCCACTTTCTGAAGTAGTTGTGGAACTCTTTCAGTTATGCTCTAATGGCCTCAGTGTCTTGAATTTATGCAAAATGTTTACCTTTCATTGTCATTTTCACTTTGAGGAGGGGCCAGAAGTCACATGGTGCCAGATCCTGAGTAAGGTGAACGAGGACACACATTAATGTTTTTATGAGCTTGTCTTTTCATTGGATAGCAGTTGGCAGTAGCATTTGCCATACTTTTGATTGTATTTTGTGATGATACTCATGAAAGAGGACTTCCAGAATTGCTTTAAAAAGTGGCAAATATGATGGGGTAAATCTGTGTGGAGGTATTGAAGGGGAATTAAGGGCGGTGTGTATTTTTCTGGGATACATTCTCATTCACTGTATATTTTATGATCATACCTCATACAGCAGGAAGGAACAAGCCTACCTCAACCAAGAATTTCCTTTGAACTAAAATTGTGATGTAATTACAGCCATGACTTATATTGCATCCTTGCCAGCTGATCATCCAACCTCAATATGAAAACTTTCAACAACCAGGAAATGCTCATTAACTACCTTAGTCTTACGTAATTATATATGGTTTCATTTGTTTTAGTTTTTGAAGTTAAAAATAATTAAAATGTGCAAGAAACAAGGGCAAGATAAAATCATGAAAGCATAAAGGATGATGTCTTTTGGGCATGAAAATTAGGGAATTCCAGGAGACCTCAATTAAAGAGAGATTACTGAATTTGAGTAGAGGTGGTAATCCTGAGATCCTTGGAAGCAAAGGAAAAAAACAGAAATATGAGAGGTCCCTTGACTCTTTTGATCATAGGAATGAACTTATTTGCCAACGTGAATCTTTCTGGAACATAAAGTTATAGGAGAAAAGCATATTTTCAAGAAAGGTCAATATTCTTTTGTGTTCCAGAAGGGAGTTTTCATAAAGCTTTTATACTACGTACACTTAAAAGGACATAATGGACAGTGGATTTTTGCCAAATGTTTTACTAGAAATATAAAGACACTTCTTGTAACAAACCATAATAGAAACTAGACAGTAGTTTTTAAAATAATAATGGATACATAGCACTTAATTGTGTCAACAAGTCAATACCTAGTTGTGTTTTCCTAAATGAAAGTGTGGAACATACTCAATGGAAGAAGTTTTTAAAAGACGTAAATGTAATTTCCCCCTGCCCCTAGGAAGAGAGTGGATGTCAATGAAAGCCTTCCTAGTCACTTTTATTGAAAGAGCAAGGAAATTTGCACAAATGAGTCTTTCTGTCAGCCTACCCCAAACCTGTGACTCTCCTCATAGACCACTGTGGGTTAGACCCTGGGAGAAGTTTTAGAGGTATCATGGCTGAGCTACAGCTCTGGATGCCCTGGGATCCTCAAATGGGGATTCTGGAGAACCTTTCAATGCTCCTCAACTTCCAGATGCTGGGGATAGAGGATCTCTTTAAATTTAGGATCTTGTCTATGGCTACACCACCCTGAATGTGCCCAATCTTGTCAGATTTAGGATCTCTGCTTTCTTGTTTTGATCCTTGTCTTTTACTCAGAAGATTGAATTTTTACATTTTTTATTAGTACATAATGATTTCAGTCATTGTGGGGAGTGGGACCATGTACATAACACATCTTAGTTCTTTTTACTTTCTCTTCCCCCTCCCTCCATCTTTTGATCCTATTCCTATTTGCAAAAGATATATTTCCTATTATCCACCATTTATTTTGCTTTTTATTTATAATTTCAGTTTCTCATATAACAGAAACCATATGATATTTAAGCTTGTGTGTCAGATTTATTTTTTTAACATTATGGTCTCACAGTGCAACTATTTTCCTACAAATAACTCAAATTTATCCTTCTCTATAAAAGATTGATTATTTTTCAAATAGAGCCAGTATTAAATTTTTTTCTGGAGGTTTTCAAATAATATCTAAATATATCCAAGTGTGAATATACAGAAGACATGATTACACATGCAAATACCTAGAAATAGACTCATTTGTTCATTGTAACATAAATGGTTTCTTAAAATTTCATAAACAGAATCCCAAGTTAATGATATTCAATGATAAATTAAAATTTAAGTAAACTCCTTGGAATGTTGCTAGCTGTATTATAATCAAAGAATTGGTAGGTGATGCTAGAATTCGAATATAGGTGGGCAGATCAGCTTCCGGGTAGTATTGTTAAATGTTAATTTTATTTTCTATAGCTATCTAGCAATGAATAAAAAACTGAGAACCCTAGTGCATTCATTTGAATTTTAAGTGTCTCCCAAAGCCCATATGTAAAGACTTGCTCCCAGGTGGTGTTACTGGAAGGTGGTGGAGGCTTTAGGACAGGGGCCCTAGTGGCAGTCCTTAGGTCATTGGGGTGCACACCGGAAGGGAATTGGTTTTGACTGCCACACTCTCCTTGCCGTGATGAGCTTGTTGTCTTGCCACAGGCCCAAAAGCAATGGAGATGACTGATCATGGACCAAAAACTCCAAAGCCATGAGCCAAAATAAACCTGAGTTGGTTATCTCATGTTTAGTAACAGAAAACAGACATACCCTCAGTGGGTCACTAAGTGATCCTTGCAGTGCAGGTGTTTTGTTTCATCAACTGAAGAGATCCATAACACATTGAAGACAATTGTTTTTGAGAGTACCCTCTCCCCACCTTAATTAATGCTTTTTCACCTTTATATTGAGCTGACAGCGGTCAGGACCAAGCCTTTCCTTAAGAGCATGGCTTGGATCTGCTCAAGAGCCTAGACACATAATCAGTCGATAACTTAGAGTCTTGTATCATCGTAAAACAGGAGTAAAAACTGTTCAGTGGCAGCAGCCACCAAACAGTATCATCTGCAGAAAGAATAAGAACAGGAAACTGTGCTGAGCTGTAGAGAACATTGCCCTGAGTCAGACTGTACAAGGGAAGAACTGGAAGGGGAGGCACAGCTAGTGGTGGGATGTGAGGCAAAGAGAGAAACATTTACTTATTTATTCATCTGCTTGCGATTCATCACACACACACACACACACACACACACACACACACACTGAGGATTATCGATCCACCTACGATTCTTCTGGACAGTGCACTTTCAGATCACATATGCACTACTCCCAGTGCTCAGAACAGTGTGAGAAAATACGTGAAATTAAGATCTGAGTTAAGCAGAAAAAGGGAATGAAACAGCAGATCGGGTCAAAATTACGGGGAAATTTGAATGCTAGATTTGTAGGCCACGAAGGGAGAGGGAAACCAAATCTTAAATAGAAGACTGACATAGATGGAGGTGCTAAGATGTAGATGAGAACCATGCTGTGGAGTTAATTTGTAGGGAAAGAAAGCTGTTGCAGTTGTTTAAGTAAGCGGTATTTATAGCTGGAACTAGAGGTAGGGGTGAAATTGCTAACAGAAAGAAGGCAAGATGTGGAGAGTACGGCTAATAGATATGGAGAATAGGTCATGCGCAGCAAAATCCAGTGTCCAAACTCCAATTTGAATGAAGGCAACTGATGGATGGAGGCCTGGAGTAGGAGGGAGGGAATGCAGTGAAGTTTCATGAATGGAATCAAATTTGAAGGAAGGATGCATCCTCATTTCTGAGATGGGAGAGGAGAAGATAATAAAAAATGATACATAGCCAATTTGACATGGAGGTTGGGGCATATGTTGAATAGCTTTGATTTTTCAAGTAAAAATAGGGGGGAGGGTATATATAGTTTTATTTTTTTAATTAAGTTAAATCTATTGCACTAACTGTATTATAGCAAATACATGGAAACAAATAGAAACTGAAAAATAAAAATAAAACTATAGCTAGCATATGAAATGCATTTATTCATCACATTGTGGACATAATCTTTACAGGGCTAAGTGTGAATTTGTAACCTTTGTATATATTCTTTATAAGATTTTAATTACTATTTCTTAGAGTATATGTATCATAATTCACTTAGTAACTCTACTGGAAAAGACATTTAGAGTGCCTCCATTTTTAGAATTAGAAATAGTGGTTCAATTACTACAGACTTAGCTGTGCATTTTTCCCTGAGGTCTGTCTATGAGCATAAGTTCCCAGCAATTAGATAATTTGGTGAAAAGGAAGAAATATTTCTGTGCCTCCTAAACTTGTTACAAAGTGATGTCTCATGAGGTATGTCTACACAGTCATTAATGTGCCAGCCATGAAATTATTAGTTTCATCATGTACCAAAAATTTCAGACATTTTATTCCATTAATATCTTCAAGATAAATAGCATGACAAGTTGAGCCCTCAAAGTCAAGATAAGTTTATCAATTTAGTTGTGTTAATGTATTTGATTTTTCAACAACCCTGAGCAGGAAATTTATGATTCTTAATAGGGAAACCAAGATATGAAGAGATTAAGTAAACTGTACAAGGTCACACAGCTGGAAAGTGGTAGAACTGGCATTTGAACCGTAGTGATCTGAGTCTAGAACCTGGGAAATCACTAGGTTATAAAGAGTGATCAAAATATACAGGGAATATTTAAAATTTTAGAAATTAATTACAGCAAAACACATTGCCACTAATTCCCTCAAAATACTCTCCCTTATTTTAAACTTATTCAATCATTCTTGCCACTTTCTGAAGCAGTTCTAGAAGTTCTCTTCTGCAAGTGTCTTTATGAAGTGTGATAAAAAATTTGGTGAATGCTACTTCCAAGGGCCATCCAATGGAAAGGCATGCTAGGAGAAACAGCGTGTGTCTCCCACCACCTTTTTCACCACACTTGGCATCATGAGACTTCTGGCTCTTCCTCAAAGTCAACATGACTATGAGAAATAAATGTTTTGGGTCAATCCAGAACCTTGAGGTAGCCATGACAGTATTTTGAGGGGGATTAATTGCAATGTGTCTTTTACTGTAATAAATAAAACATTCACCATATTATTGTGAAAATTTCACCATATCCTGTTGGGAAGGTTTTTTTTTTTTTTTTTTTTTTTTAATGGCTCTGCTGCTGGATTATAGTGGGATGATTCTTACGGATTTGGATGCTTCACATGGTCTAAATGGGAAAATTTACTTACTTATTATTAATAATGTATTTCTATCCCATGACAGCATGTTGAGTTTAGAAACTAAGAATGACATTGCTAAGTATTAAAAAATAAATGCAGCAGTTTCATATACCCAGAATACCCCTGGCATTTGTTTTGTTTTTCATTTTTGCTCTGATGGTTCTATAATTTAATTCATCCCTGGTGGTTTCCATAGGAACATACCTTTTGGGTTTGCTTGAACATCTTAAATGTGGGTATTGCTTTGATGTTACAAAATTCAGCCAACTCCTGGGAAAGAAAGAAATGGCATGAAATCACAGTTGTAATGTGCTGTGTACCAAACACACTGCTTGATGACTTCTCAGGAGATGACCCTTAAAACTCAGGGACATCTGACACTTTAGACACTCCTCCTCCAGAGAGTGTGTGATCATATGTGGTAGACTCTCAAAGCCTCCAGGAATGTCCCAGAGGACAATGACCATCCTGGCATTCCTAGGTGTTTATACCTCCGAGTCTAGGGGAGGAATGAAAAACAGAGACCAAAACACCAGGGACCCACAGGGGCTCAATGGGCTCTATTTAGAGACCTTGTGAAAGATATAGAGGGGCCCCAAGGGGAATTTAACATGGAATGAACCTCCTGAAAAAGTAGGAAAGAACAAACGTATCCTTTTAGATCACATTAAGACATGAGATGAGATCAGATGTGAAGACAACTACAGGGAATGTTTATGTTTTAAAAATTATTATAGTAAAAATAAGCTTGCCATTAATCTTCCAAATACCTCCCTTCACCGTTCTTGCTCCTTCTAGAAACAGTTCTGGAAGTCTTCTTTCATGAATGTCTTTAGCTGTACTGTCATGGTTCCCTCAGTGTCCTGAATTCATTCAAAATGTTTACCTTTTATGGTAATTTTGACTTTGGGGGAAAAGCCAGAGTCCCATGGTGCCAGATCCCGTGAATAAGGTAGACGAGGACACAACGGAATGTTTTTATGAGCCCGTCTTTCTGCTGCGTGACACTTGGCAGTAGCTCGCACACTATTTTTGATCATACCTCATGAAGACATACATAAAATAACTTCCAGAACTGCTCCAGAAAGTGGCTAGAATGATAAGATGTGTGTTCAGAGGGAGGGGGAGCACTTTGAAGGGAATTAATGGCAATGTGTCTTTTACTATGATAAATTTAAAAAAATTAACATTTATTGTATATTTTGGTCTCCTATTTAAGTAAGGCTAACACAATTCTTTCTTTTAAGCTCTATAGTCACTCCACTGCAAATCTTTGTGAAAAATTTGGAATCTAAAGGCATGAAAATAGGCCAGAATCCCAATAGAGTAATTCATTCCAAACTACTTCCAAATGGCGACTTTTGTTTTTCTTGTTCAGAAGTCAAAAGAAAATTAGTCACACACAAGATCAATGGAAATGGATGTCTCTCTTTAATATGTCCATTGTTTCATTGGCATTGAATCTCTTTCCTTACCTACAACAATATGCACACCCACAAACACTGAATTATAAATTACATGACCAAGGTAATAAATATGTTACTAATAGAAAAATGTGCATTTGCTTCACCAAAGCCAGAGAACTAAGATGTAAAAAGCATGACAATAACATGTGTTGGTAAAGATGTGGAGAAATCTGAGCCCTCCTACTGCGATAGTGAGAATGTAAAATTGTGCAATTGCTTTGGGAACTGTAGGTCAGTTTCTCAAAAAGTTAAAGGTTGGGTTAAGATATGACTCAACAATTCTATTTCTGGATATATTCCCAAAAGAAATGAAGAGTTATTACACACACAGAATATGACTCTTTATTCATATTTATACCAGTATTATTCACAGTAGCCCAAAGGTACACAATTTAAATGTTCATTAATAGATGAATGGATAAATAAAAGGTGGTATCCATACAATGGAATATTATTCAGCAATACAAAGGATGAAATGTTGAGATAACACACATGAATCTTGAAAACATGGTAAGATAAGTGAGACAGTCGTTAAAGACCATGCAGTCCATGATTCCACTTATGTGAACTGATATATAGAAAGAATTTATGGCTGCTGAGGCTTGGAGGGGGATGGAGGGATCTAGGTATGACTGATAAAGAGTACAGTGTTTCTTTTCAGAATGATGAAAATCTTCTAAAGTAAATTGTGGTGGTGGCTGCACAGCTCTGAATATAGAAAGACAAAATGAAAATGACCCTAGCTGTGTGTTCTGAATTCGTGGTATATAATTCAACCCAAAGAACAACTAAACAGTGCCACACTTTAATGAAGTTTGAAGAAAATGGAGAAATGGAGCTTCTGTTATACTCTGTCATACTTCTGGTGTACACTGTTACACTGTCATATATCGTATGTATTTTGCTTTCTAGTTATTATTTCCTATTTTAAGATGAAGAACTGGAAGTTTACAGAGATTAAATAATAATAGTTCACAGAATCATTTAGGGCTAACAGTAAATAAACATTTCTTTTTCATTCTAAAGCTCAAATGTAAGCTAATATATGCATAACCACTTGCTATTATTAATACCATAATTTGAATGATGCAGTTTCTCAAAAGACTCAAATGTTAAAGGCTTGGTCCCAACAGTGGCACTGACTCTTTAGGGGGTAGTAGAACCTTTAAAAGTGAGACCTAGTTAGAGGCCCTGAGGAAGTTGCGGTCATGATCTTGTAGAAGACTGTGGAATTTTGGCCCCTTTGTCTTTCGCTCATTTGCTTCCTTATCATGAAGTGAGTGGTTTTGCTCTGTTATACTCTCCCACCATGACGTGTTACTTCTTCACAGGTCCAGCAGTGAAGGTCTCCTGGAACCTTCAAAACTGTGAGCCAAAGTAAACTTTTTCTGTTAGTTGATTATTTCAAGTATTTTGTTATAATGACAGAAAACTGATGAACAGTTACTTTTCCTCATTAAAAATCAGCAAATGTTAGGAAGCAAAATGTGTAGAGACATTGTGTACATTAATAAAACATATTTGGATTGAGACTATAAAGCTGATTATTTGGGGGGTTAAGATGGGGAAGGATTATTGTAGGGACATGAGGGAAGGATTTCCTAGAATTCAGTGAGCTATTTCAGAAGAGCCACATATAAGCAGAAGGTAACGGCAAAAGGAAAGCAAGCTGTATTAAAATGTGTGTAAGGCATTGAATCAGGTTTCAGAAATCGATTATCTACCATAATGTGAGAACCATTGCTAACATCAGTTCAGGTCTGATGGATTGGTGTTGTCTACTTATAATAACCTACTGAAGATTCTGGGACAGCATGCAGAGCACTCTGTGGTGAAGAATGTTAGGATTGGTTGTGAGGTCAGCCATAGCATGGGAGTGAGGAGGACAGCAGGAGAGGGATATACTTGCTAACTTTCTTTTAAAGGTATTTAAAACATGCAAGAGCATCTTGTTGAAGTTTGCAACTTGTTTATCAGAAAAAAATATAAACTTCTACTTGATTTTACATTGATTATGTAATCACAGAGACAGTGCCACACAATTCCATCAATGCATTTGAGTTTTGAGCGTCCACACGGACAATTTAACATTCTTACCTGTGATTCATCCACATCCACACTAGCGAACATCACATTTTTGTATTTCAGAGGCATTGCCTTAAAAAAAAAAACACAAAAATTCTCTGTTAGTTAACTGTTAATATTAAAATACACAGCAGAATCTCTGCAAAGCAAGACATGGGCAAAAAGTTTGTTAAAGACAGCTAAGCATCATTCCAGTATTTCACTACTCCCAAGTCAAATGTCAACCGATGCCAATGTCAAGCAAGAAGGAATGGCAGAACCAGGTTCACAAGAACCAACTGAACAGTAATGCTTCAAAGTTGGAGGACACAAAACAAAGAAATAATGAAATGTATGTGGTGAGTGCAGACTTACTCTGAGAGGTGAGGGAAAGATAGTAGCCTTTTCCTGGGAAGGGGTTCAGGGAGTCATTTTCAGTGATCTTCAGGACCCAGTTCTCAGCTGGGAGCTGTGGAGGGGGGAATATTTGTGTGGCACATTTATCTTTACCTCCTCAGGTTTTTTCTGGGGGTTGATGATACTGATGGTAGTAGAAGGCTGTTCTGTTTGAGGGCATCATCAACATTTTCGGCTATCAGCCTAATGGCTCTCCACCCCATTGCTATCTTTATATGCTCTGTTATATATTAGAATTAAATCTCCCAGATTCCTCTTCCAGCTGACTTCTAGGTACTTGCTGCCAATTCATCTATTTCTGAAGACAAATGGATAATTCCAAGTGGGAATCATGATTGATTTGACCTAGTGGACATTTAATTTCCAGGATCAGCTCTTGCAGGAAATGGAAGGTGGAAGGAAAGAAAAAGCAACTCTCTTCTGCTTCTGTTTTGTTCTAGGAACATCTTCGTTGTTGGCAATAGGTAGACAACATAGACCTTATAAGGGTCAGCAGGGGTTTCTTTTCAGACAGCCATCCATAACTTAAGGACACTTGATAGTGTCTTGATTTGTTTGCTACTGAATCGTATCTCAAGCATTTCCAGTGACTTAAGGTCAAGTGGAAGTACTTCCTAACGGTGATGCAAGGTGTCCAAAACTTGGCCAAGTGGAGACAGTAGGAGATGAAGCAGTCACTGCGTTCTTTCTGCTCTGTTCTTCCACATATGCAATCTGTTATTACTTGTTGTCCTCTTTTGTTGATCTTAACTAAAATGCCTCCTGAATTTGATCTTTCCTTTTGTTCCATGTGCTATTGCCCCATTTTTGGGAAACCTTTCAATTGAGAATGTTGCCATTGGATTACCTGCCTTGAGTGTTTCCAACACTGCTGTTGTACAAGTGAAAGTATTTTCTGGGGTTAGGGATGAAGTTCAGTGATAAATTGCTCACCAAGACTCTGGACTTGATCCCCAGCACCACTCTAATTTTTTCCTCTAAAACCCCACATTTGATCATGACAAAATCCTGTTAAAGTTTTTTCTATTTTTATTCTCTTTGGCAACTCATTAAGTTACTACACAGAGTCCTTAATCTGACCTTGGTTTCTACTTGAGGCTTATTTTTTTTGCCACTTCTATGGTATTCATTATAGATTAGTCTCATACATTACTTAGTCTCCCATAATCATATTATGCAATATCTCAATAATTTACGACCTATCCTGTTCCAGAAATGCTTTAGTCAGGGTTCAGTTCTATGTTTGGTGATTGTTTTAATCCAGAGTTAAAAACTATGGCCTGTGGACTAAATCTAGCTCTTCTCTCCTTCTTGTCAATGACATTTTATTGGAGAGTTTGCTCCTTCATTTTTGCACTAACAATAGAAAAGTTGAATGGTTGGGACAGAGACTATGGGGCCTGCAAAGCTGAGATACTTACTATGTTGTGCTTTACTGGAAAAGTTTACTGGTGCTTACTCTGAGTCATCAAGGCCCAGATCAAATGAGACTGTGGGGCTTACTTAAGACTTAAAGTTGTAGAGCACTTTTAAAACCCATGATTTCTTATGCTTCATTTATTTTTTCTTGTTGTATTACATCCTTTAGCAGTTTTTTCAGATAGCCTCTGTGGGTGATAAACTTTTGCATTTTGTGTGTCTCACATGCCTTGCATTCTTCAACCCTCTCTCGCATAGTGGTTTAGCCTCTCTTACAGAGCTCGGAAGGGAAAAGAAAGTAAGGATTCCTCCGACTCCCTTGCAGCTAGTCTGGATGTGCATTTGCTTTTATCCATGAAATGCAAGCAGGTGAGACAGAGCTGCTTCCTGTTTCCTTGAATGTTCCTGCTAGACACTGAGCTGAGGCACTAAGAGGTGTTAAGTACCAGTTAGCATCATCCAGACTCAGGGTTCCAGTGTCAACTTTAGATTCCTGGACATCCAGAGGTGGTTGTGGCTGTTGCAGCTGTGGTGGCTCCCCGATCCTAGTTCTAACTCCCTGATACTGCTCTGTTGCTTTTTTTTCCTTCCAGTGGTGGCCTCCTATTTATTCTCCCTTCTGACTGTGGCAAATTCAGGAGCTCCTTTTCCTAACTCTATTTAAGAACACACAGGCCAGGCATAGTGGTGCATGCCTGTAATCCCAGCACTCGGGAGGCTGAGGCAGGATGATTGCTGTGAGTTCAAGACCAGCCTAGGCTGCATAGTGAGTTCCAGGTCAGTCTCAACTACATAGTGAGACTCTGTCTCAAAAACTAAAAAA